ATTACCAACGAACCACCAGCGCAGCAGGGACACGCCGTCCATTCCACGCGGATCCTTCCCTTTGCCAATCGCCGAATGGAGGCGTTCAGCGGCAGCGAAGGAGCTGGGGCGGGAGCCTGCTTTGGTCAGCGCAGTGTTGCTGTGCCTTTGGGCGCGCCACATGTCCGCAGTTGCGGAAGCGCAAGTAGATGTGTTGCAAGACGCTGACACAGAGAAACGCACCGTCAAGGCAACCGCTGCAAACGACGAAAAATGCATCGAGTTGTGGCCGTGCGTCCCAAAGGCATCCAAGGTGCACGCCGCAAGCACGCACCCCGAGAGGGTGGCCGTGCAAGTCTGGGTGAAAGGAGATCCAAATGGGGCCACGCCCACGACCTTCTACTTGCACCCCGAGTTCAAGCCGCCTGCGGACAAGACGACCGCCGACGTGGCTGACCACGATGTGCGGTTGAGAGCATGGAAGTGGGATGCGCAAGAGACAATGCACGTCTTCTGGGCAGTCAACAGAGTCACGGAACAGGAGATCCAGCAGAGTAACAGCCGTAATGAAAGCGCAGTTGCGCGCATCAACATGGAGCTGGAGACGAAAGAATTGGCGGTGTGCGTGCCTGGGACAGGCGGGGTCGTGCTCGCCGTGAATGTCCCTGTGCTGGTGAATACCACGGCCGTGAAGAAAGGAGAAGAGCTCCGGTGGGAGGCGAGACCCAAAACCGCACCGAAGAAGAAGGCGGCCGAGGAGACGTGGAAGACGGACGCGGCCAAGAGGGCCAAAGGGAAGCCTTCGGGCCAGCCCGCGCCGAAGAAATCGAAGAAAGGGTTCGACGAAAGCGGGAAGATGTCGCTCTAAGTAATTCAGAAGCCGCAGTGGCGGCTGTCAGGGCGGCTTGCTCGCGTGACCGCAGTTGCGGGCAACAGGCCGAAGGGGGGGCGCACGCGTGACCGCTGTTGCGGAGCGCTCGTGTAGTTTGCAGTGTCACTTGCTGATGCCGCAGTAGCGGACCGCTGACGATCGAGCACGGAGGTTCGAAACGGACCTCCTCCCTCCCTTCTCCCTCTCCTCCCTCGCCCTTCCTCCACTTCCTCACTCTCTCCTCCTCCTTTCTCCCCTTCCTCCCAAGTTGGAAGCCGAAACTACTCATTTCCTCACTCCCTCCCTCCCTCCCTGGAGGCCCTGGAGGGCCTCCGCCCTGGAGGGCCTGGAGGGCCCTGGAGGCCCTGGAGGGCCTCCCTGGAGGCCCTGGAGGCCCTGGAGGGCCTCCCTGGAGGCCCTGGAGGGCCTGGAGGGCCCTGGGCTGAGGGCGGAGGCCCAGGAGGGCCTCCGCCCTCAGAATGCTTCAAAGCAGTGCCGCGGCACTGCTTTGAAGCATCCGGGTGCTTCAAAGCAGTGCCCCGGCACAGCTTTGAAGCCACCGGGTGCTTCAAAGCAGTGCCGCGGCACTGCTTTGAAGCATCCGGGTGCTTCAAAGCAGTGCCCCGGCACAGCTTTGAAGCATTCTGAGGGCGGAGGCCCTCCAGGGAGGCGCGAGGATCGCAGGGACCGAGGGAGGCCCTCCAGGGAGGCGTTCAGCTCGCCATCTGGCTCAACCGCGCGCGGCCCACTGCCCGCACCCCCGCCTTGCCCGCAGTTGCGGCTGTGTCCAGCGCAGTAGCACACATGCCGACTTCGAGCGAATGGAGCCCTGTGTGCGTTGAGAAGGTCTTGTGCATCCGCGGAGGTTGGCTTGCGCAGACCACCCCCGTCCCCGAAAAGGATGTCAAGGTGCTCCACGCATGGCCCCTCGGAGAGATAACTTTCGTGCACGTGAACATGCAAAAGGCTTGGCTGCTCAAGGTGTGCGCCAAAGGTAAACCGACCGCAGGGGCCTTGAAGGACTCCAAGGCCTGGGACGCGCTGAAGAAAGAACTCGCGAAGCAGGGCGGCGCCGCAGTTGCGGACGAGGAGAGCGACGGCGACGCGGGGGACGAAGCAGATGACCCCATGTCGGCCCTGGTCAGCTCCACGGACGCCACGAAGAAGCAGGCAGCGACCCCGACCAGCGCCAAGAAGCAGAAGACTGGAACGCGTTCGGCGGCTACTGGCCTGCCCAGGGGCGAGGCCGTGCAGTCGGCCATAGCAACTGTGCACTCTGTACAGATGCCCGCAAAGAGCCCCATGAAGTTTCCGCACGACACGGCCGTTCGAAACGTGCGGGTGTCCAGCTTCAAGCGGAGGACGTTGTGGCTGGACGCTGCAGACCTTGGGTGGCTGATCGACATGATCGTGGACGACGTGAGCCTCGGCGGTGTCCCCGACATCGGCGACGGCGACCAGGACGAGGCCGCAGTGGCGGACAGGGACTGGGCAACGGCGGTTGACCCTGCCACCCCGCTGGCGAAGCAAAAGGAGGTCGACCCCCTCGTGGCGCAGGGGAGCGGCTCTGGCTTCACCGTCGTTTGGGACTTCAAGGGCGCTGGGGTCGCGACCATCACGCGAGAGTGTGCCAACAAGGGCAAAAGGATCGAGATGGATGTGAAGAAACTTACAAAGAAGAAGTGGCAGTCGGCGCAGTCGGTGAAGGGCTACGACTACGAGTGTGAGGGCATGACGCAGCACCAGCGCAAGCAAGCGGCTCTGGATTACCTCGAGCTCCAAATCCCCAGTCTGTTCGACTGAGGCCCGAAGCCGTATGGGCCGCAGTTGCGGTGGGGATACTGAGTGCCCGCAGTTGCGGGGTGGCTGGGTGCGCGTGAACACGCGGAGGGCGAGGCGGTGTGAGGAGGCAGGCGGAAGGTTTAGGGTGTTCCACGGGTGCACGCCTTAGTGCGCCAACTTGTGTGGGCGAGCGTTTTTCTTAGAGAATCATGGAGTGAAGCATCGAAACCCTGTGCGCGCGATGATTGGGGCTTCCGCGCGGGCGTTGTTGAAAAGTACCTCCTTCTTCGCCCCTCCGCATCGTCTTCAGTTGTTCCTCCCTCCTCCCCTCCCTCTTCCTAGTTCTGTAGCCCGCAGCCGAGTGCCCGGCCCGAGTCGTTCGCCACGCGACCGATCATGGATGTTCCCGTGGGGCGGACATGGTATGGCGAGGAGGACGGAACGCATTTCGAGGTGGAGTGGCTCCCTTACGACAGCGGCTGCGCACCGATGAAAACGAAGTATGGCACCACTGGGCTCGCCAACATCTTGGGCCGCAGTAGCGGCGTTCCGTGCCCCAAGAAGATAAAGGTGCACGCATGTGCGGATTTTCCGTGCCTAGCGAATTGGCCCGCGTCGCAGTACGGCCTT